TTGGAGAGAATTTCCCCGTCAAAGTTCCGTTTTGGCTAAGTCAAGCCTAGAGACTCGGATTTCATCCGTGAAACTTCCGTCAAAGGCCCGTCACGGCCTAGCGAAGTACCGAAGCTGCAGAATTCGCGTGCAGGGCCCGTTTGAGGCCCGTGAAGGTTCCGTGAAAGCCCCGTGAAGGGCGCGTGAAGCAGAAAACGAGCCGAGGGCCCGTCAGGGTCGCGTAAAGGCCTCGCGAAGGCCTCGTAACGGTCGCGTCAGCCTTGGGAGTGGCGTTTCGCGACCAACAATAGCAGGGACATCGCGAAAAAGGACTTGCCTGTAGGCTGCGGGAAACTTGCAGAAAAGTTACCTTTTGGATACTTTGGTTTTGCAACTTGGCAGTGATGGACGAAGGTTGCACAATATCCAAGTCACTGGAAAGTTGAATGAAAGTTGCAAGAAAGTTGCATTCCTGCAACACTTCCGCAACTTCGCGGACACTCGATGGACACGTTTCGTATACATTTCAGCAACATGTATGCAGTTTCAATACTTGCCTCGTGGCACGCATACAGTTTCGACTTCGAAGTGTACGTACGCCGGTACGTTCGCGAAGATATTTTGCCACGTAAGCAAAGATATTGTGCCAGGTGTCAGTCTCTATGTGATCGGAAGCTTGCCATGTGGGCCAATCAGACATTAGCTTGTCGTGTGTGAAAATTGATTTCTACTGGTCGCCGATTAGCCTGAACAGTACAAGCGGATCATTCGTTACAGCAGCCTTTTGTTACTGGTTTAGTCTGAGGGTTACAGTTTGGTGAAGATCTATAATATGTTTCACATTTGCATACATACTCATTAACAAGTCAGACTGTTATACATACTCGCGCTAACAATATGTAAAAACGTACACAGCTAACACCAAGCACTTGTACATAGCTTCACGTCTTGTGTGGAGGGCACAGGCTGCGGAAAAATGCTTCTTTATAACGCCTGCAAACAGTACACACATAACGTTAGAGCTTGGTTAGTCATATGCGCGTTCCCCACCTCAGTGACTTACCACCTGCGGGGCTTCACCGCCACTTGTAACATTGCTTGAACGTGCTTGGTAGCTTCTGCATATTGATGAGACAGCTGGAAATAGAAGTTAACGTCGCGTGACTTCCATTAACCCTGCACATGAAAATCAATCCTGAAACACTATGACCACCAGAACAACAGACATATAAACGTTATCGTTAAAGGCTGGATTCCAGACAGCATGGGATAAGAAGGCGCATGGTGAGAAGCTCAAACAGAGGCAGAGAGAGACCTGCGTGCGAGTAAACACCCTCCGCGTTCTCGCGCTGACGACGGCGCGTCCCCTACGATTCGCGGGCCGAAGGTCCTATGCAAGCAGTGAACATGCCGACGAGCAGTATTGGGAGGCTGGGGGAAAAAAGAAGCGCAACTGATTAGTGCGAAGAGGGAATGGGAGGACTGGCAGGGGCGGGAAATAATGCACAGGTCACAAGCGACGGCGAAAGATCTGCACACATATCGGGAAGTTACGTGCAAGGCGATTGCTCACGAAGAATAACCCGTGAGCATAGATGAACGGATGGAAACACATATCAGAGTTACAACCTAAGGCACACGCACGGATAAATGATTGCTAGGTCTCGAGCTACAGAAAGCATGTGTAGCACACCTTTCGGCGCTTTGAGCGCGGAACCCGCGTGATTCCGTTTAAACTGTAAAAGGGAAGGTGAGGATTCGGAGGGGCGGAAGGGTAACGACATAGATCTGAGTAAGCAGCAGTAAGAAGATACAATAAAAAATACGATGAGCTGTCGTCTTCGGGTGCACACTTAGAGGCAGGACATGTATGCGAGAAATGAAGAACCTCAACCAGTTGTGTGAGAATGAGGCAGGTGAAGGGTGCTTGAACGGGATAGAGTCAAGTGCAGTGTGAGGGTAAGAAAGACATGCTTCTGGAGCTCGGAGGTGTGCTGATGTGTCGTCAAAAATTGCCATGGATTTCTGAGGTAGGCAAGTGCACACCAGTGATTGGTTAGTTAAAAATCATTACGATGGACCACTTCGTTACCGGTTAGCTAAACCCTGGTCCGATTTTGCCACGTCAGTACAGTGAATCTGAACTCTTAGCATGGATTGGGTGTGACTTTGAACCTGTGTGCCAGTTGCTTGTTTCGAGTGTTGGTTGCACCTTGGCGAGATTCGTCCTGTTACGTATCCTCGTTACTGTTCTCGCAAATCTCGTGAAAGCGTTCATCGATCGGATACCAGCAGTATCACACTATGGGGGACTCCCAAGGGTCGGTCGTGACCAGGTGTACAGTTCGGTCTGGATGTTTCGAAGTTGACGCAAGAAATGCGCGATTCGAGTATCCCACGAAGCCCAAAATCGCGCCTCGGGTACCCCACGTACCCAAAATTCGCGGCTCGGTTACCCCTTGTATCCGAAATTTGTGTGAGTTGCAAAATTCAGTTAATGCTTTTCGGATACTTTCTCGATACAAATCAGCAACTTTCCTACAGGTTTCAGACTTAAACTCGATTTTGGGCCAAAGCCTTTTCCGCGATGGACTAGTCACGCGGTAGAACCAGAGTTGAGGAAACGGACGTCAAGAGAGTTCTAAGGAAACGGGAAAACTCGGGAAGCTCACCGAGAATGATGTGGATGATCTGCGCGTGCCGCGCCGGCATGGTGGTGCGTTTTCGCGCCATCATGCGAGTAGGGAGAGGGAACAGGTGGCGGGAACTTATGCGATTTTAGACGAGCTAAGGAGTTAGGCGCTTACGCACTGATACGGCGAGCAATTCGCTAATGCGGATCATGAGGAGGGTTAGCGGCGAGTCAGCAATGTGGCGGCGATGAGGAGGCGAGGCAGCGAGGCGGCGATGTGGCGGCGAAGAGGAGGCGAGGAGGCGATGTGGCGGCGAATAGGAGGCGAGGCGGCGATGTGGCGGCGAATAGGAGGCGAGGCGGCGATGTGGCGGCGAATAGGAGGCGAGGCTTTGATGTGGCAGCGAAGATGAGGCACCTATCGAGGCGAGGCAGCGATGTGGCGGCAAACTGGCGGCGACGCGCCGACGAGAAGGCGAGGCGTCGCCCTGCCAGGACACGAAGCAACGAGGAGGCGAGATCGGCGGGGAGGCGGGAGGTTGTAGAGGATAGGTTCCGGCGAATCGGGGAGGTGGATGGGAGGTGGCGAAACGACGAGGAGGCAGCAAGGACTGGCCGCGATGACGCCATTCGCATGCTATCTGGCAGTACCATGTACCCGTGGTAGAACGAACCTTCTACTCGTGGGCTATGTGGTTGTCGCGCTGAGGGCATGCTTGCTTAGCTGCCAATCTCTTGGGTTGTGTGGTTTCTTCGCTTTGGTGTTGAAGCTACTTCTGGTTTATCACTCGCTTGGTTGATCAACTCACTTCATTTTCTCCGCTTGCTTCTTACTTCCGCGATTGATTTCCGCCATTCCGCGGTGTATTCCCCCAACCCAACATTCGAGCGAAATTGGTAGGCATCGCCTGCCTTGTTTCAATTCCTCGCACCAGCTTTACGTACCCTGCACAATTCGCCCTCGAATCATCAGGCGCCAAAGGGTGTGCACTGACAATACACCCAAAAGCCACCCCCAGGAATGTGCACCCTTGCTGAATTTTCAGACTAGCCCAAAACCAATCTGAGGGCCTACTTTCCCCTAAGATAAATCAAAGGTAGGGAAGTTTTCCAGGCCTGATGCCTAAAGGGCCGAGATTCGCCCCGAACCTGCTAAATACAGGTTCGCCGGACCCCCTGATTTGTCCGGAGGCCCCACGAAATGACAGGCCTGCTCCCCGCCCACTCACGATTCCACCCTCCGCCGCGCTTCTCTCCGCCTCCCACGCCACCATCTTCGCTCCTCACCGCACCCCGCACGGTCACCCGCCCACCGTATCATGCCGATCTTACCGTTCATCTCGCTACGCGCATTTGCTGGAACCGACGATATGACGCAGCCTGCGGTGATCCGACGGCTCGCCGTCGCTGCCGCCGGATCCGGCGGAAAGTGGGCAGTCAGAGCTCTTTCTGCCGTAAATAACGCGCAGGGTATTGCCACGTCAGCAGTGGACGGTGCTGCGTCATTCCACAGCAGCGCATCTGCCAATTCGCCTGTGAGCTCCTTCACTCCGAGTCACGCGTCGCCCTCCTGCCAAGGCCCCGTTAGAAAGAGAGCTTCGTGTCGTGGGAATTGTTAATACAAGATTCATGGACGTCTGGCGAAGGCAAGAGTGAAATCAAGATCGAGCAGTTATGGGTTGCCATTATGATTGTTTCCTCAGACGCAAGTTCGCGAAGCGCCGATCCCTTCCAAGATCGATTGCCCGTGTCTACTGTTGCACACGGTAACCCTCTGTAGCGAGTAGGTTTTTATGGAGAAATTTCAAAAACAACCTGCAACGTAATAGGGCAAAACGAGTTATCGCTTCGTCTGGCTTCCTCCTTCTTGGTCGTTTCTACGTCACCACTCTTGCCTACCCGTGGGCTGCGCGTCCCTTAAAGTGTCGCTCCCGTCCCTCTCTTCCTCTCTTGTCCTCCCGTTTTCGTCGACTCATCACCTTCTTTCCCCGCTGTCGTTCGCTCTCCCTTCCTTCCGCCCCTTCCATTCCTCACCCCCTTCGCTGCACTCGCTACCCCACAGGAGCCCACGGCATCCTCGGGTGCACAGAACGCCATTCCCTTCCCCAGGTGCGTTGCGTACCTCTTCCTACCCCTCCCTTCCACGTCTGACGTTTGAGTCGGCTTACAAGTCGTTTCTCTCTGTGCTGCGCATGGGTGTGGTTTGGTGCTCTTTGTTGTGGTGTGCTTAACGCTGTTGTGCTAAGGTGTGTCTGTTACGTTGTTTGTTGCCCATGTGCATCGCCCTCGCACAATGTGGTCCCTCCCGTGTGCGTCCGCGTTGCCCTCTTCTCGTCCCACGTGCTCTCTCCAGTGACTCGTGTCATGCGACCTTGCCTGCTTGCCTCCCATGCCCTTCCCTATGCACTCACTGACACCATGCACTCACTCCCGGTATGCACCCCTCCTCCTCTCCCTTAACCGCTTTCTCCCCTCCCTCCCTCCCTCTTCCCTTTCGTCTCCTCCACTCCATTGTCTTCCTAATGTCTTCTCTTTCGCACTCTTTCCACCATCTCGTCTTCCCCTCCCCTCTCCCCACTCCCGCCCTCTCCCCACTCCCCTCCTCTCCCCACTCCCCCCCTCTCCCCACTCCCCCCCTCTCCCCACTCCCCCACTTCCCCACTTCCCCTCCTCCCGTCCATGGCCTCTCCTCAATTCCCCACCTTCCCCTGCTGCTTGTCTCCCCTTAGAGAGGGTTCTGGCGTAAGCTATGCTGTTCTATCACTGGCCCCCTTTTCGTCTTCTACCCCCTCCTACCCAAATCTCCATTCCATCCCCTCCCTCCCCCCCACACTCTCGTCTGCATCCTCCCCCTTCCCCCACCCCCTCCGCGCCTCCTCTCTTCCGCCCAGGGAGGGTCCCGGTGTGAGCTACGCGCTCAACTGGTCGTTGGCAGCAGCAGGTGTCACACCAGCAGGCCTCGTGCAAAGAAACGCCAAGCCCGGCAAGTTGGGTGCTGCTGCTCTTTCTGGTGAGGGGGGTGGGCAAGGGTGAGGGGAGGGGTGCGGGGGGGATGAGGGGGGCATGGAGAAGGGTTGGGAAGGGCGGAGAGAGGGGAAGGGGGAAAACAGGGGGGCGGGAGATGGGCAGGGGGTGAGGAGAAGGACGGAGTATGGAGGAAAAGAGAGTGATGGACGGGGATGGGGGGGGCCATGTGGAGGGGGTGAAAAATGCTCTCGCCACATGCACAGCACATGCACATGCACAGCACATGCACATGCACATGCACGTACAGAGGAACTCTGAAGCCAACAAGCTGGTCGCTGCTGCTCCTCCCACTGGTGCGTGTCGCAGGGAAGAGGGGGAGGGAGGTGCGGGGAGGTAAGGCAGGGTAGCGTGGGAGGGCTCAACCCCCCCCGCATTGCTTGCTCTCTCAACTCCTCCGCCTGCGCCACCCTCCCTCCGCTCCCCCCCGCATGGCGCCCAATTTCCTTCTGCACCGCCCACCCTACTTGAAACTTCTTGTTCCGCGCATTGCTTTTTTATTCGTTCAGTCATGCCCTTGGTCCCTCCACCAACCCACCCCCCTCGCTCTCAACTCCACCCCCTTTGTTTTTCATCAAGAATGTTTCTACCGCACCTGCTTCTGCCTCCTCACTCCTCTGTGCTCCTCTGTCCTCCTCTGTGCACCTCTGTGCTCTCCTCCTCGCTCCTCTGCGCCCCTCTGCGCCCCTCTGTGCCCCGCTGCGCCCATCTGCGCCCATCTGCGCCCGTCCCTCTGTCCGCCAGCCGCCAAGGCTCCTGCGCGAGTGGCAGTGAAGGGCTCGAAGGATCTCAGCAAGGCGGACTACAGCAAGCTGCGTAAAGAGGTGAACCACTCATTCCCGCTCTGCTCGGAGCTGTCTTGCTCGGAGCTGTCTTGCTGGGGCGGATCAGTAACGAATTCTTCAATAAGGAGGATGTATTCACTGATGTAGCTAGTTTTCGCGGGGAGCAAGAGCGCCACGAATGCTGGTGATGAGTGCAACCACACCTCCTTTATAGGTGCGGAAGTGATCCTTCCTAATGCCCCTAAACCACCTCTTCCACCCACCCCTAAACCACCCCCCTCCAATCCCCCCTCATTCCTCCCCAACACCCCAGGTCAGGGCCCACCTTTCCTTGCTGCCATCTGTGTGTGTGTGCTTGACTGGCCATGGGTAACCCCCTCCCCCCCCCCCCCTGCGCCGCTGACGCTGCTGCCTCCGCTGCTGCAACCATGCCTGCACACTGATTCTGATGCGTTTCGTCCCCGCCCTCACCACTTCCACCCCCAACCACCCACCCTCCCGCTCCACTCCCCCTTCTCGCCCCCCTCCTCCCCGTCAGGTGACGGCCCACCTGTCCTCGTTGCCGTCTGTTTTTGTGCAAGACGGTGCGGTGGGCTCGGCCTCTCTCTGACGTGCACACTCGCGCCATCTGCGACTCCCCCGCCACTGCTGCCGCCATGGCTGCTGCTGCTGGTGCTGCAACCATGCCTGTACACTGATCCTGATGCGTTTCTTCTCCTGCCCCTCCTCTTTCACCCCCGAACCACCCCCCTCCCCGCCCTTGCTAGGTCACGGCACATCTGTCCTCTTTGCCATCTGTGTTTGTGCAAGACGGTGCGGTGGGCTCGGCCTCTCTCTCCCACGTGCACACTCGGGCCATCTGCGACCCCCCCGCCGCTGCTGCTGCCATGGCTGCGCTCCTCTACCCCACGCCCACGCACACCGTTGCGCCTGACTCCTTCCCGGTTACAGTCTATGCGGCAATCAACGTCAAGTAGGGGTTTTGGGGGGTGAGGTGGGGTGGAATGGGATGGGGTTGGGTGGGTGGGTGGGATGGTATGGTATGGGGTGGGAGTGTTATGGGTTGGGATGGTGTGGGATGGGATGGGGTTTGCTGTGGTGGGGTGGATTGGGATCGGGGTGGCTGCTGCTGCCTGCCATGTCGGTGTTTCTCTAAGGTGAAATACTTGCCTCTTCCGTTCCTAATTAATTCTGAGGCGCTTCAAATGTACATGTACATGCACATGTACTACCCGCTGTGTCATTCCTCCTCCCCCGTGCATCGTGTGCCATGGTAACGAGGTGACTTTTGAGTCGACTCAAAAGGCACATGTACTACCCGCTGTGTCATTCCTCCTCCCCCGTGCCTATCTTCCCCCATCCTCCCCGTCCTCCCCGCCCTCCCTTTCCCTCCCTCCATTCTTCATTCTGCCACCCTTCTCTCGGGGCCCTCCTCTGTCCCATGCCCACACACGCCCTTTCTTCTGCTTCCATTCCATCTCCCTCAAGGCTCACTGCTCTGCTACTGACTCGCAACGCTCCGCTACCCCTCTTCCCCCTCTTGCCCAGGAGCAACTACAGGCGAGGGCCTGATAGCACTGGACGGGGACTCCTCCTCTCTCTCATCACCCGCACTGCACTGGCGGACGGGGCTTCAATCTGAGCGCCCCATTCTTGGCTCACCTTCCCTTCCCCGCTCCACCTCCTCCACTCCCCCCACTCCTTTCCTCCTCCGGTTCCCCCCTTTTCCCCCCAGGAGCAACACGGCAGGCGAGGGCCTGATAGCCCTGGACTGGGAGACCTCGTCTCTCGTCGTCACTGGCACTGCGGTGGCGGACGCGGCTTCCATCCGAGCGCTTCTCGCTGCTGCTGCTGGCCCCGCTGCTCTCTCCAGGGGCGCTCTGCTGCTTAATGCTAGGTGGGCGCTGCTGGGCGTTCGTGGGTGTGATGTGGTGGGTGCTAATTGGTTCCTCTGACCCGACTTGAAGCTGCTCGCTGCTGCTGCTGGCCCCGCTGCTCTCTCAAAGGGCGCTCTGCTGCTCAACGCTAGGTGGGTGGTGCTGTGTGGTGCTGGGCGGGTGGGGGGGGGGGGAGGGGAGGGATGGGGAGGTGGGGAGCTGAAAGCCTGGATCCGGCCCAGAGAAGTTTGACCCCACCACTCCTCCTATCCTCGTTTCTCTCTCCAATGCCTTTCCCCTGCATTTCCCCCTCTTCACTCCCCCCCATTGCCTTCGTTTCTCTCAACCCATCTCTCCCCTACCAATTCCTCCTCCCCCCGCCCTTCTCCCCTCCCATCCCCCGTATCTTCCCTCTCTCCCCTCAGTCTCCGTCTCTCTCTTCTGCTCCTGCCTGCCCCTCTCTTCCAATGCTCGCTACTGCTCCTGTCTCTCCTCCCCACCTTCCCTCTCCCCAGGTTGATTCAAAGCAAGCCTGGCTCCTGCCTGCTCCTCTCTTCAATGCTCCCCTTCCCAACCCCTCTATCTCTCCTCCCCACCTTCCCTCTTCCCAGGTTGATTCAAAGCAAGCCTGGCTCCTGCCTGCTCCTCTCCCCCCCATCCGCCGCCCCTGTCCTCCCCAAGTCCGCCGCCTTCCCGGCAGATTCCCTCCTGTGGAGCGCGGGCGGCGTGGCCCGTCTCTTTCCGGCCAAGGATGGGTCGGCGCCGAGCCTATACGCCAAGCCGAATGCAGTGGTTCTGCTGACGTCAGACAGGTGGGGGGTGGTCGGGTGCGGTGTGGCTCGGTTTTTGGGGGTCTCATAAGTGAACATGTGTTTGTCGATACGTGCATGTGTGCATGTGTGCATGTGTGCATGTGTGCATGTGTGCGTGTGTGCGTGTGTGCGTTGTGCGTGTGTGCGTGTGTGCGTGTGTGCGTGTGTGCGTGTGTGCGTGTGTGCGTGTGTGCGTGTGTGCGTGTGTGCGTGTGTGCGTGTGTGCGTGTGTGCGTGTGTGCGTGTGTGCATGTGTGCATGTGTGCATGTGTGCATGTGTGCATGTGTGCATGTGTGCATGCGTGCATGTGTGCATGTGTGCATGTGTGCATGTGTTTGTCGATCCGTGCCTTGCCATGCCACAACGCGACACAAGCGACTCAAACAGCAACCAATGAGCTTACAACCACTCCCCTTCCGACAATCACTCCCCACCCCCCCCCAACCTTCCCCCTCTTTCCCCCGTTTCCCCCCCTCATTCTCCACCTCGCCTCGCCTTCCTCTACTTCTTGCCCCCACGCCAAATCTCTAATGGTGAGGGAACGAAGGGTGAAGTGAGGTGGTGCTGCAGAGAGAGTGGGGTGTTGCTTCCGGCATCCCGATCCGCTCCAGAGCGTTGCTGATGTAAACCTTCTGCGACATGGTGATGGTGCTTGTTGCTGTGCGACATGGTGATGGTGCTTGTTGCTGTGCGACATGGTGATGGTGCTTGTTGCTGTGCGACATGGTGATGGTGCTTGTTGCTGTGCGACATGGTGATGGTGCTTGTTGCTGTGCGAGCGCGTGTGATTTCCATCCCCAAATAGTATTACCCATCCATCCCCCATCATCCCGCATCATCCCGCATCATCCCCCATCCCTCCCCCATCCACCCCACATCCCCCCCATCAGCTTCAAGGTGCTCCCAAGCAAGCAGCCTACTACTTCTTGGCAGGATACGACGGAACCTCCTTCCATCCCTCCTTGTCCCCACGCGTCCCCGTCACCCTCCCATCCCTCCCCCATCCATGCCACAGCTCCAAGGTGCTCCCACCAGTGCTCAAGCTCGCCCCCAAGCAAGCAGCCTATTTCTTCCTGGCCGGATATGACGGTGTCTCCTTCCACCCCTCCTTCGCCCCGCCTGCCTTCGCTCCCAAGCCCGCCGCTGCTGCTCTGGCTGCTGCTGCCGGGGGCAAGGGGGCTCTTGCTCTTGCTACCAAGCTGGCAGAACAGGTGTGTGCTGGAAGGGGGGGGAGAAGAGCGGGGAAGGGGGAAGGGGGAGGGGGTTGCTTGGTGGAGGGTGGTGGTGTGCGCGCGTGCACGCGCGCGCCCTCGTGCTTGCATGGGCGCCGTGCACGCACAATACTGCCTCGCAATTCCTTTCTCAAACATTCTCATCCTCCTCCTCCTCCTCACTCCACCTCCTCCTCACTCCACCTCCTCCTCACTCCACCTTCTCCTTTCCCAACCCTCATCATCCGTCCTCCGTCTCCACTCCCCCTCCCCCTTCTTCCCCTCCCCTCTCGCCCCTTTGTGACCCACTCCCCTACTCTCCTTCTTGCTCCCCTGTGCTTGTGTTCTCCCCAATCCTCACTTCCCCATTGCACACTTCTTGTAGCTTGTGAAACAGCTCACCAATCGCCCTTGTTTCCCCCCTGTCCGCACTTCCCCCTTGCATGTTTCGTCGTCTATAGCTTGAAGCGACCTTCACTCCTGCATTCCTTTTTGAGTACACTCAACTAAACTAATCTTTCCCTGTGTTTCCTCCCCTGTCCACACTCCCCCCTTGCATGTTTCGTCATAGCTTGAAGCCACCTCCACTCCCGCTTACCTTGTGAACGTGTCTGAAGGTGGGTGGTGTGACTGATGTTTGTACGCTAAAGGCTTTTTTGAAGTGTCTTTCACCTGCCGTAGCTTACACCCCTATTGCCTTTGCTGTGTATACCCTCTCTTGCTTGCAGCTCACGCCTCTCATCCATCCACTCATGCATGTCATCCCTCCCCCATGTGATGCCTGTCATCCCTCCCCCATGTGATGCCTGTCATCCCTCCCCCATGTGATGCCTGTCATCCCTCCCCCATGTGATGCCTGTCATCCCTCCCCCATGTGATGCATGTCATCCCTCCCCCATGTGATGCCTGTCATCCCTCCCCCATGTGATGCCTGTCATCCCTCCCCCATGTGATGCCTGTCATCCCTCCCCCATGTGATGCCTGTCATCCGTGCACGCGCCCATACGCCCCTGATCCTGGGGTGATCCTTCTCTTCTCTTCTCTTCTCTTCTCATCCATCCACTCACGACCGTGTGTGCACGCGCCCATGTGCCCCTGATCCTGGGGTGTTCCTTCTCTTTCTCTTCACAACTTCAGAGCAAGATCCTGGGAAGCTCGTCCATGCAGCCATTTCCGGGAAGGTTCCGGCGGCAAAGAAACCCACGGAGAAAGCCTGTATGATTCCAACACTGCCATTCTCCACCACTCTCCACCGCTGTCCATCATCACTCTCCACCCTCAACCATCCACTGTCCACCACCTGTCCAATCTCACGTCTTCTCCAGTTCTCTTCTTCATTCTCTTCCTCCCTCCTGCCCTGACTCACGATTAGCCTCCCAGGCACATCGTCTCTCTCACATTCTCATGTTAGGTCATCTGTTCTGCGCCTTATTCCCCCCTCTCCATCCTTCTCATCTTCATATCAGTTGTCGACCACCCAAAAAACGCCTCACCCCCTTTCTTCCCCAAGACTGCCTGCGTGGACTCCCTTTTGTTACACCTCACTAATACCGAACTCAACCTACATCCACCCCTCTGGTTCCTCTACTTCTCCCTTGGTCCCCCCAGTGTCCGCCCTGCGCTCCAAGTTCGATGCCTTCATTAAAGCCTGCTTCCCGGATGTGCCAGAGGGCATCTCGCCACTGTAAATACACAGTATTGAGCTTCGATTGTAATTGCTAAAAAATGTAACGTTCCTCAACAGCAGATGTAATGTAACTAGCTGCCACAGATGTTTCCGTTAGTCTGGATGGTGGCATTAGTCAGAGAGAAGAGAAGCAAGGCTGCCTGCCACTGTGATTCTTCATGTACAGTAGAATTTGTACGGTACTGGTGAAGCTAGACGCACTCACCTCGGCAGGATCAAGCCCGAAGTCATCTTTAAGAAGAAACGTCACAGCGAGGCGAGCCAGGCCCAGCACGCCCTGCACAAAGTACACACTCGCACTCGCCACCACCTCTGGCGAGACAGAGCTTGCTCTCTCTGCCACCCACGCGGGCAGAGCCGGGGAGAGCGCGCGGAGAGACTGCTGGGAGTCTGCGGAGAGTTTGGAGGGTCCCTCTCCTAGTGGTGACTGTTCCCCTAGTGGTGCGATGCCTGTTCCCTTGCTGCCTGTAACTTGTCTCCGTCTGGGCCTTCTCTTTCACCAAGGCTTACAGCCCGCTCTTGCCGTCCTGCATCATCCGTCTCGCTCTCCGCCTCTGCATTTCCCGCTTTGCGTGGTAGTTGGGTGGAATCCTGCTCGTGCTCGTGCTGGTGCTGGTGTTTGTGCTTGTGCTTGCGTGGTGGTACGTCAGGGAACGCTTCTGCAGGTTGATAGGAGGGGGAAGGCGGGAAATGGGTGGGGGGCAGAGGATGAGGAGGAGAGACGGCATAGGAAGGGAGTTGAGAGGACTCCTTCTCGTGCTCCTGCTCCTGCTCCTGCTCCTGCTCCTGCTCGTGCTCGTGCTCGTGCTCGTGCTTGTGCTTGCGTGGTGGTACGTCAGGGAACGCTTCTGCAGGTGGGAGGAGAGAGGAGAGGAGAAGGGGGAAAGAGGTGGGGGATGCAGGGACTGAAGGTTGAGACTTGACATTCAGAAACGGGTTGATAGATCGTGCCGTCTGTGCTGGATTTCTCCGAGCCAACGAAATGACTCCGCGAGTCGCGAAACCCGGTTACCTCATAACCACACCTCGGATGTCGTCGCATTCGATGACAGATTTCGCGCGGCAGCTGAATCGTCTCCTTCGCGATTGTTGACTCGGGAAATCCCGGCAGACGAATTCCACGGTCCGCGATTGCCGAGTGAGGAATCCACGATGAGACGAATTCGGGTAAGATTGAGCCAGATAAGGATGAGAAAAGGAGGCGATTGATTGCCGAGCCGTACAGGAACTACTCTGTGCCATCAAACTACAGAGCAGCAGAAATGAGGTTGAACTGAAGGTCGGCGACAATGAGTACACCACCGAAGTGAATGGTGAAGTTCGTGTCGCCTGACTGCAAGCAGATTTCCCCAATCTCGTAAGCCTGCAGACGATTGTTGTTTGCGACAGTGATCTCGCACGGCCGTCGCATTCTTTTGGAGTTGGTGACGAATTTTGTTGACCCCACCATGTGTTGTCCGTAGCAGCTGTCCAGGTACCAAGTGATGAAGTTGTCGCGGCTTCGTCGCGCGATGCCGACAATCTTTAAAGTAACGATGCGGTCAAGATCGATGAAGAAGGGCGAGAGATCGTTCTGATCATTCGTGGAAAAATTGGGGGGAGACTACGGCATGCTCAGAGGCAGCTCAAAATCAGGTGGGATGTTGGTCGGTCTGTCGATCCAGCGACTGGGCGTGGGATCGTTGTTCGAGCTCGGTGTAATTGGGTCGATCGGAGTGTCTGGCGGAAATTCGATGTCATCGTAGTAGCGAAAGGCTCTGCGGCGCACCATGCAACTGATCACTGACCCCTTGCCTTTGTCTTTGGACGAGATGCGTGCAGGGGTTTGAGAGGTGCTTGCGACGGAGGACGGCGACATTATTGTCGTCGTTGGAGTTGAAGGCGGCGTGGAGGCTTGAGTGTTGCTGCGCCGCTTGTCAACAGCTTTCCGCTTGTAGCACCGATCTATGGTATGACCCGGTTTCTTGCAGTACTTGCAAACGGTCCCCTTTTTTCCGTGCTGCTCCCCTTCAGTTGCTCCTGTGAAGAACACTAACTTCTCCCTCTTGTTGTTCTTCTTGTTGTACAGGTCAATCTCCTTCTGCTCGGAGAGGAGTGTGGCGCAGAGGGCGGACTCGGAAATGGTCGCTCGCGCGCGGAGCAACGATTGGCATTGACGCCATTCGGGTCCTTGTCCAGAGAGAACCACCGAGACGAACATGTCGTCAGGGATGGCCCCGCCGCACTTCTTGATGTGGTCGCGCATATTGCGGCACCGATTGATATACAGCCCCGCCTTTTCCCCTTGTAGCATTTTTACTGATGTCAGCTGACTGAGCATGCGACTCATGGTAACTGGACTGTTGCCATGTATGAATTGCGCAGGTGCTCCCATGACATTTGCGTAGGAGCACACTATGATTTGTAGGAGCGGATGCCGAGTTGCTTGGCAGGGGAGAGATTTTGGAGAAGAGCAGTGTATGCGAGAAGGGACTCGTGGTAGTACTGGTGCTTCTCCTCGATGGTTCCTTCCGTCGGGAAATGTAGGCTCCCATCGTAGTACATCCAGATCTGCGCGGTTGTAGTGAGGAAATTTGAAGCTCCACGTGTAGACGTCTTTGCCGTCAAATGGGATTGAAGTTTTCAGCTTTGAGTTCAAAACAAATTTTGTTTGCATGGTTGCAATTGCTTCTGACTGTGTGCGTTGTTGACTGTCTTGCACAGGGGCTGAAGCTTGACGGTTGTCAAAGGTAAATAATCTCTCTGAGTTGACGTGGCGGTCTTCTCCAGGGAGAGGAAGTCCTGCAACTCCTCTTGCATAGCTTGAGCCATCAATGCTCATGGCTTCATGGCTTTCAAGGGCGTTGATGCGAGCGACCAGCTGCTCAACAAGAGCGGCGCTGACGGAAGCCGCCGCTGATGGCGCATTAGTCGTTGCTAGTGGTGGGCCCGGAGAGTCTGCAGTAGCTTTTCCTTCAGGAGCCATAGTGATGCAATCTTGTAATAGGTATTTTTAATGAATAAGTTTATAAGGAGTTTGTTCTAGGAAGAACAGGAACTTGGCATGTCGTATAATCCACTATAGCTCTCATACCATGTTGATATAAGCAAAGGATTGAAGTGGATAGGATAGGACTTGCTAATTTATGGGAAGACGATAAAGTCTTGTAGTGACCTTGTTACCGTATTCTCCAGCACCAGCAGTACCTCCAGCATCTCCAGCACCTCAAGTACCAGCAGCACCACTTGCTCCGGCAGCTCCAGCACCTCTAGTACGAGCACCTCCAGGACCAGCAGCTCCAGCACCTCCAGTACCTCCAGCTCCAGCGCCTCCAGCACCAGTAGCATCTCTAGCACCTCCAGTACCAGCAGCACCAACACCTCTAGTATTGCCAGCTCCAACAGCTCCAGTACCTCCAGCTCCGGCACCTCCGGTGCCAGCAGTACCAGCACCTCCAGCACCTCCAGTACCTCCAGCTCCAGCAGCACCAGCACCTCCAGCTCCGCTAGCTCCAGCACCCCCAGCACCTCCAGGACCAGCAGCTCGAGGAGCTGAAAACTCCAAGCTCCAGCACCAGAGCGGCCTCGCCGAACGACCCACACACGAAGCTGCTGCGGTGAGGGCGTCTCGAGTCGACTAGGCGGCTGTTGCTGTCCAACGCCAGGACCTGCAGTAGGAGCACCCACGGTCCCAACACCACTAGGACTCGCAGCACCCCCAGAGTCAGCACCCCCAGATTCCTCACCCCCAGTCTCAGCACCCTCAGTCTCAGCACCACCAGTCTCAGCACCACCAGTCTCAGCACCCCCACGAACAGCACCCCCTGCGTCCTCACCTCCAGTGTCACCACCCCCAGTAGCACCAGTGTCCACAACTACAGGCTGCAGAGGCAGTGAAGACGGTCGAGGCGGAAAACCAGGAGGGGTCTCCAAGCGTGGAGAGCGACGAGTGGTCGCTGTGTCGTCAGCAGCTGGGTCACCCCCTTCAGCTGGGCCAGAGGTGTCAGAGGAGATCATCGAAGGCTCAACCAAGGGGGGTGGGTCTACCTAAGAGACACCTGAGGGAGCAGGACCCTGTGGGGGAAGGGGGTGTACCGGGGGGGGAACTGGTACCAGGAAGAGAGGCGCCAAGGGGACCGGGTGGGACGCGTGGGGGTGGAGC